GATAATGTGTGACACTTAACGTCTCACAACCCTATGGGTCTTCACGGCCTGGTACAGGGATAGTTTTACTTTTACTTACTTATTTTTTATTTACTGTGTTATCCTGTTTAGATGATTGTGTTCATTTTGGTGGTTTTAGTATTAACAAAAATACCATTTTACATCCATCCGTAAAGATGTGTAGTGTTACTGGTCCACTGGGGTTTGAAAAGATGAAGTTTTATGATCATGAAATTTCAAGCAGTTCTTTTAGGTACCTGGAACTTTTGCTTTCCATGAAACAATGGATACGACAAAGTTCATGCATGATAGTATTTTTCATTGCTTATATTTTAAGTTTCAATTTGCTTCTATCTACACAAAGCTATCTTTAGATGTACTTCCAGACTGTGTTTTTTTATATCATGCCATAATCAACAGTACAGATTTGTACTTGGCCTCTTCCAGTTACAAAAGTTAAACCATTCCTTTCATCTCTTTATTCAAACTTCTGGATTCTGTTTTGAATTCTTGTTTCCAGTTCTTCTCCAACATCCCCATTACATTTATGATCCATCAATGTGTACCATCAGACCACTGTGAAGAAACTCAATTCTGCAATTTCCATTCTTCTCACATGTTCTTTCACTGATAATGAAGACTTTCTGTACCTAACCATTAACTGCACTCTTTGTTTAGTAGGGGAATGTTTGATAAACCTGGCATCTTGTGGGTCAGAAAGTGCAGTATGTGATGACTAACCTTACTGTAACAGCAACCCACAGCGAGTACGTGAGAAGTAAGAAGAAGCAAAGCGAGGCAAGCCCTGTTGCTTCCCAAAATCTATCCTCCATGTACACAGCAGCCCACATGGCACACAGATATATAGATACTAGGCATGGAGGTGTTAAGATCAGAAGACATAGCACATCTAGATAAAATCCCTGGTGACAGCCTAATCCTCGATGGCTTTGGAACCACTGCCATATAGACCTCTGGTAACGACGTGTATTAAACTGGTGCTTGCAGATTTCACATTCAGTTGTGTTGGAAGCAGAGAGCCATTTCTCTAGGCACTTTCTGTGGACAAGGCCCAGTGTTCCCGTACATTCACAAGGAGAAATGAGATTTTCGCTGGTGTCATCTGTTGACAAAAATTAAAATATTCAGTGCAAACCTCTCCTCTGTGAGCCTATGTTCACTACAGAAGTCTGACAATAATGAATACCATTCATTCATTCATGAACATTACTGTTTTCTGGGATGTGACATCATATAGTCTGGCACACTGTGACCAATATTTGGAAGAATGTACTGCTTTCATCTTCACCTCTTCAACCCTGAAGAAGTAGGCAGCACATTCTTATGAAAATATGAGACTACACAGAATCACACCCAAAAATATGCTAATTTTAATAGTTATCACCCTAAGAACCACATCTTGCACCATTCATTCTTGTTGGAGGACAGTTTTTGACTGATAACTTAAAAGTTTTTGGTGTTAGTCTAAATTTTCAAGAATGAATACCATTCAGTTCTGTAATGGGGGGTGGGGGAAATATTTACTTGCTTATTCTGTGGAAAGTAGGCCTATTTTGGATTTCGCGGGTGCTGCCAAAATATTTGGGGGGAGTGGGAGGGCACAAGGTTTGCTTATAAATTTATGCTTAAGAAGCCATGTAATAACATTTTTACTAATCACCCTATAGTATTCAGGACAGAAAAAAGAAAACACAGAGTCCCCTTCACCCTGCTAGCACCCATGTGACCATTCACAACTGTAACGGATTCCAAACAGAAAAACTCTAAGGACTGAGCATATGACAAAATTATGTTAGCTTTATTTCAAGTAGGTCTACATCATCATTGTCATCCAATCCCTCATACAACTGGCCAAATATCACAGAGTTCAACTGATGTGGGTGCCAGGTATTGCTGGGACTGAAACCGCAGATCAGCTGGCAAGAACAGGATCTCAACAGCCATAGGTCTACATCATCGTCATCCAATCCCTCATACAACTGGCCAAATATCACAGAGTTCAACTGATGTGGGTGCCAGGTATTGCTGGGACTGAAACCGCAGATCAGCTGGCAAGAACAGGATCTCAACAGCCATAGGTCTACATCATCGTCATCCAATCCCTCATACAACTGGCCAAATATCACAGAGTTCAACTGATGTGGGTGCCAGGTATTGCTGGGACTGAAACCGCAGATCAGCTGGCAAGAACAGGATCTGAACAGCCGTTCACAGGACCTGAACCAGCTTGTGGCATCTCGTTTGGTGTTGCCAAGAAAGCGATCAGGGACTGGACTAACAGAAATCACAAAAAACACTGGGAATCCACAACTGGACTCAAACAGGAAAAGTGAATTACATCAGGACCCTCTGCCAGAAGAATGAAGGACCTGTTGACATTAAACAGAGACCAGTTAATATGGATGGTAGGATTACTTACCGGACACTGCCAACTAAAAGGACACCTTTTCAAACTGGGACTGACAGACGACCCAACCTGTGAAAGGTGCCTACAAGAAGATGAATCAGCCACACACATCTTATGTGACTGTGAGGCCATAGCTTACCAAAGCTATCGCCACGTGGGTCAATTCTTCATGGAACCAAGTGACTTTTATGATGCCTCCTTAAATAAAGCCCTACATTTCATTCGAAGTGCAGGATTAATAAAGTGTCAACCCAAAGGGGAAGCCCCCCTCCCCTCTCTCTTTCACACACACATGCGCACACCCACACACTAAAAAAATCGTCGTCATCGTCACCATCCCTGTCATCATTTTCATCATCAGTCATGATGATGTACACAACTAACTGTATTCAGTTTTGTTTCTGTTGTCACATTTAGCTGTTACTGGAAACTAACATTCAGGTACTGCAGTTGTACTCATAATGGCATAACCCCATCTATTTTTAAATCTGTTCACACATAAAGGATTGAGTGCATTTAGAAGTTCCATGTATATCAAGCATGAGAACACTTCTAAGGAGGGGGAATTCCAAAATAATCCACAAAGACATGATCTGTATGTGGAAATAAGGTAACAACCAAACTTTGCACCTTCGTGACAAATCCTGCAGACTGACCCAGAACTAGACAACCTTGGGTGTGCAAGTTTACATGGCACTGATGTGCTGGCAGATTCATGTGGCTGCACCATCACAACAACTTTATGGGAATTCTGTAAGAAATAAAATTAGGTTTATTATAGTGTATTTTGTTTTAGTGATGTTTCTTAAACTGTTTTGTATTTACATGTATTTTATAAATATGTTGTATTGTGTTTTGATTTGTTCCACATCCTACTTACTAGGACCAATGGAATGCATACATCCCAACAGAATTTCCCCTATCACAAAATAGCAGACCTGACATACTCAAGATTCCATGTGGCAGTGTAATGCACTAATATCTTCTTATGAAAGGAAGTATAATCCACCCTTAACTAGGTTGGATCTCGCCTTTTACTTTTAAAGTATTGATTTAAATTTTCACTGCATGAAAAATGTAAATTGCTAAGTACTTAGTTGTATAACAGAAGTTGTGCTCAAGTGTGGAGTGCTCCTGTTTCATATTTGACAGTTCCTGAATCAAATCTTGGCCCGAACACAAGCAATCCTAAGGTTTTTTTATAGTTTTCCTCAGTCCCTCCAGGCAAATGCTGGAACATCTCAAATCAAGCCATGTTTACTTCCTTTCATATAAATTTAAGTGTATTATTCTGCTACTTATTGTACTATTTGACACTATATACTATGAGCTACTGAAAGCATCTTTAAATAAACCACAAATAATATAAATACTTAGTATTATGTTCCTCACTGATTTCAAAGCCATTTTTAACACTTGTCACACACTACAGATGCTGTAATTTAATACTGGTGAAATCTATCTGACATCAGTCAGCTCTCTCTGAATCTGGGCACCCACAGATGGGATAAGAAAGGTGGTGGTAAAAACACTCATCCTATGGCCTGATTATCCCTGCCTGTCACTAAACCGTGGATGGTTCTGATACTATATAACTATAAGAAACCAAAAGCTAGGACAATGTGAATTCCAAATACATTCTAAACATAAACTCTCATTATAACCACACAACTTCAGTAGCAGAATATCTTCTTACTTAGCTAGGAAGAAGGGAAAGAATTTTTTTTCCTTTTTCTTTTTAATGCTAGTGGGGTGGGACTAAGTCCCTTGTACTGCGGCCACTTCTGGCCTATTGTAGCAGCCCCAGATGATAGGTGAGGGTGATTGTGGAGCAATTGGCGGAATGAAGACTGGCAGGGGAAACCGAAGTACTCGGAGAAAACCTGCCCCAGCGCCACTTTGTCCACCACAAATCTCACTTGACCAGACCCGGGATCGAACCTGGGCTGCCACAGTTGGAAGCCAGCGACTAAAGGCTTGAGCTATGGTGCGGCCCTCCAGAAGGGAAAGAAAGTATAGTATCTTTATTGGCGTTTGAACATTCTCCTAACCTGACCAACAAAAAACAAGTGAACTGTGGCACTCTGATGGTGGAATAGGTAACAAGAAACTAATTAATCAGCTATTAGACAACAAACTGTATCACATCTGAACAATTACTTGCCAGACAGTAATGTTGCAAGTGTATAAGAAGTAGCACAAGGCAGGAACATTACATACAAGTGATCCTTTCTAAGGAGTGTCTAGGGAGTGGTACTGCCTCAAGTGTGCTCTATTATGGCGTTGTCTCCCTAAAAATTAAAACTCTGTATCATGGTTATTCACAAAATTGTAAGAACAACACTTTCAACACTGTGATCATACTGTGATACTGCTGGTCAAATGCATGCATAAACCCTGAAAAATCCATCTCTCAAAAGGAGCTGCAATAAATGTTACATTTATGACAGATATACTAACTTCTTCCTTATCGAATGTGGGAATGTTACTTGTGGGAAAAATTTCTGCATGTTCCACTGTGAAGCCACATTCTTGCGTTTGCCAGCAGTTATTACCGATATTTTCGTTACGGTCTCCGCAGACTTCAGCAGGTATTCTATTTATTTCTGTCATGATGGTGCTGAAATAATTAATTAGACACTGAACTTCGGAAAATGGAAGTTGGGAGAATTAAAAAATTACGCAATGCATTCAATTTGCAAAACTATACATCTTTCATGCTCATTCACTCATTAATTTACTCACACATAACTTCACTTCAAGCACTGACAACACGTCATAAACCGTACTACTTCATGTCATGTTTTTGCACACAACTGTGCCAAAATTGTATTGTCAGTTTCGTTGTTATCACATTTTAAGTTAGAAGGATTTCTCTACTCACCACAGTTAATTTCACCTATGAAGCAACTAGTTTCATTACACATTGAGCATTTTAAATAAATTCTTCATATTATCGATAGCAGTAACATTATTTGAATAGTTACAACTGTCCTTTCTACTTGCACAACTTTTGAAAAATTGAAATAGCTATGAGGAAATTTTACGTCCCATTGGTAAGCTTGTTAACTCTAGATGCTCTATATTGCTCTAGATGTCAGGAACGGTCAGGAAGCTCAGGAATAGCATACGGTTCCTACTTATTAACACGTGCTACCATCTGGAGGAACTTATACATACTATTTTCCCAATCAGTCCAGGAAAGATTGTCAAATTAAGACTTAACAGAAATAACTTTGCATTATGGACATCATACTGAAACTTCTGTCGCCTACTTATTACGAAAATATTTATTTATTTGACAATATTTCTTTTTATTTGCATATGTCCTACGTTTGATTTACATTCACCCTTTTCTTCGGATCCAATACCGGAAGTTTACTAGTACACGTCAGGTTTTCGAAGTGAGTGGAATGGTGTTTCGAAGTGTGTGGAGTGGTTTGTATCGTGGTTACCAGCGAAGTTGTTAGTTTCTTGACAAAAATGGTGTTTGTGTCGTAGTTACCTGTGAAGTTGTTAGTTTCTTGACAAAAATGGTTTTTCGTGAGGACATACTTACAAACTTAAAATGAAGGCTAATGTCTGTTGCTTATATTGGGCACTTCTTTTCGTATCATTTACATCAAGGTAATTTATATTGTTATTTAGCGTAGGCTGTCCTTGTTAATCTTTTTCCTACTTGTTACTGAAATCATATCCATTTTCACATCATGAGTTACAATGTATTCAGACATATGTAACATGTAGTTACTGCATTATTTAATCTCGCATTTTCAGCTGTCTGCTTTTTATATTGGTTGCTACAGAAAGTGGTGTGATTGATTCTGCAGTTAGAACTCTAGACTACAATGATACAGTTGATACTGCAGTTTTATTAAAGAACTCTGAGAGGCTAGAAAGCCATGACAAACAACATGAACAGACCGTTGGTTTAAATAAGAATGAGGAGGATCAAAGTCAAGAAGAGTTGGGACGGAGTCATCAGGTAAGGAACAACTTTTTATATAAGCGTGTTGCTGAATTTGTTTATTTAAAGTCTGTGGGTCTTACAGACTACTCTAACCCATTCACTTCCTCAAAGCTATTGTTTAATATTGCCTTTGTTTAAGGCTACTAGCCCTAAAAGGCCAATCCAACATGAGTAGTCACAATACTGTGAATGGAGATATATCCATTTATGTTGTATGTATGGGATAAACAGTGCTGAGATTGATGTCTCTGTTTTGGTGTATTTAAAAGATTTACGAAATAAAGGATTACATGTAACTAGGGAAGCCTTAATGTCAAAAGCAAAAGAATGTGCTATAAAAAGTAATGTACCTTTCAAGGCTAGTTGTGGATGATGTGAGAAGTTTATGAAAAGAGGAAGCTTATCATAACAACAAAGGATGAAAATTAGTCAAAACTTTTTTCAGAATTTGAGTCTAAACTGATTGAATGCGAGTGTTTTGTTATTGGACTACACTGAAGGAATAAAATATTCTTTAAGTCAGATTGGCAAAGCAGATGAAACTGCAGTTCTTTCAACATGCCTTGCATTTATACCATAAATTTCAGAGGGGAAAGACAAGCGGAAATGAAGACCACAGGCTATAAAAAGTTATGTGTTACTGTCATGATGTGTATAACTGCAAATGGCAATAAATTACCACCATATGTAATTCCTCTTAAACAGAAAGACAGTGCAAAAAGATAATTTTTGCAAAGATGTAATAGTTCGATCTATGCAACATATTTCCACGTACAAAGCAACTTATTGCCCCATTTTCCTTCTCACAACATGTTTCATCCCTACACAGCCATCATCATGTGACTAATTTGCTAAAATTGTTGCACTGTATGGTATGTTCAACTTCTCATATGACATGTGAATGCGATATCTCTTAACGAAAAATAATTGGACATTAATTAATTAATTAATTAATAAACACTAGTTAAAATCCCAATTTTTGCTAGGGGTCATTGTCCATTCATCCAAACGACATTGTCTGAGGTCTGAGGTAACTGATGTCTAACATTTGGTATAGCAGTGTGCATGATGGTTTTAACTCAGGCCAAATAAATACGCATATACAGACATATTACTTCCAATTACATTATAAAATTATGAATTTCTACTTTCATTTATAGAAACAAGAAAATATGGCAGAAATTCATTCTAGTTTTGAAGAGGTGATGTCATCAAGTTATGTTGAGAGCCCACAATATAGTGATGGTGATGCTGTAGAGTATGTTATTCCACCAGAAGCAGTATCAGATGTCACCACTGAGTAAGTTAGATACATTTTGTTTCCTATATGTTATTTAGGATTAACAGCTCTTTGCACTCCATGATTTGGAATACGTTCTGTTATGTTTTTATGTTTGTTAGGTTATGTTCAATTACAGTATGAAATGCAAGGTACATCATAGCAGTGGTGCTAATTCTCTGTTATTTGATCTTGAAGAGTGATGCACATATAATTGTACATGAAGGTGGTGTTAGAAGTATATTGTGAGAAAGAAAATAACTATTATGCTGCAATAGAATCAAGATACCTGTTACAGCATTTCAAGTTAAATTCAACCCTTTTGTTATCAGTGTGTAATTGCTGATTGATTGATTGATTTATTTCGTCACTGTAGATCATTGTACATGATATATGACAAGTCAAGTTAATTCTGAATATTAACAATTTGATATATAAGTAGATTAAAATTACAATAGTTACAATTTTTTACTGCTGATTACAATTTAGAATTAGTTAGATATTCTTATTTGTGGAGAATTTGATGGAGTGGGTGAATACTGATTCCATAAAAATATTAGCATTATGTCTGTGTTACACCTTCACTGTTTGCCTTCAAAATATGCTTCACTTACCCTGACTTAATAAGTAATCTGTAGAATCATATTTTTCATATTGATTTTAAAGCTTATGTAGTAATATTTGTTTATTCTCGGAAGAATTTGTTATGTATTAAGGGATGTGCAGCATCATGCTTATGAAGTGGAAATATATGTAGTTATACCTTATTTTAAGCAAGTTGTGTTATTAAACTTGTTATATTTTTATAAGCTGATGTATCACCGTTTATTTAGTGTACAAAAGTGTTCTGCTACTTGTTTCAACCTTCAAGAGGTGTACTTATGAGAATTCACTCTTAATACTTGAATTGTATTTTAATATGGATCTATTAATATAGTTTTTAATTCTGATAACTTTTTTTATACTTTGAATTTTAATATTACATAGTTATTAACATAGTTTTGTTCTTGAAGATAAAAATTAAAAACTTTTTTTTTTAGATTTTACCTTCAAATTTTCATGTTAACTTCTTGAGTTACACTTGAGATATGGAGTTATAGTTGGTACTGATCCTTGGAGAATCTGCAGTTATTTTGGGCGTTCACAAGTGAGAAAGGACCAAGCAGTGCTGATGTAGGATTTTTAGAATAGGCATGGTCAAATCTGGGGCACACGGTAGCATAGTTGGTTGAGGCACTATGCTACAAGCCGGAAGGTTGCAGATTCAAGTCCCGATGATGTCATTGGATTTTTTTTTCAATTTACCTAATTCTTCCAGCGGCACTATGGCCTCTAACAGAAATGAGTACCAGGAATATTCTTGGAATGTTCTTGGGGGTAGAGGGTGGGCGGCACGTAAGGCTGACAACCTTGCTGCCATCTATGAGCCGATTGTCTAGAAACTGTGGGAACCTCAACATCTCACAACCCTATGGGTCTCCACAGCCTGTTACAGGGATATCTTTACTTTTTTTACATGGTCTAATCTTAGGATTGTTAGAACCCAAGTTAATACACTTTTGAAATTTGTGTTGATTAAACGAGTGTTAATTTTCAGAATAGTTTTGTTTGTTTAGCGTTATTATGAATTTACTCATACCAGCAGTCATTAGTGCATGTATATGACAAGTGAGGAATTCTCAGAATTTTGTTATGGTGTCTGTGTGCTGTCTGATGACATTATTGCTGCTGCTGATGTAGTTTAATAATAATGTCACATGTATTAGGGGTGTGACTATTAGACAGGGTTTGGATTGGCTGATTAGATTTATTGTGCTTATACACCTAACTGATAACTACAAGTAATACGGTGCTATCGCTGATCTACAAACTTTACAGTTCACTGTTACCCACACGCTAGGGTTCTCAGTCTTCACTAGTTATACCCTAGCAACAGATTTTTAACAGTCTCACTGTAACTACAAAACACATAAAGTCTACAAATCACACATTAACTTCTAACTAATCCATTACCATCTCTTCTCTGTTATCTTTGACTACTGGGTCAAGGGGCTTGATTATTTCTCAGCTGGCCTGGAATCTCTCATATTATATATAGTCTTCTGGGTTGTGGCACTGTAGTCTGGTAGGTGGGTACCAATGGTTTTAAGAACATACTACCTCCATGTTCAGGGTGGAAGCTGGTACCCACCTGTGATACTACACAGTGTTGTAACTCAGAACACCACAATATGAACCTTCACCACTTTGAAGACATCACATCTTATGTGGACACTTTTTTAACACACCTTTTAAATGTGACTGTTCTTTCTGAGGGTCAGATTTTGCTATTAGTCCTGCTTCATATTTGGAAGGGCCTGAGTTTAAGTCTCAGTCAGAAGATTGAGTGGTCCGTTGAATGGTTCCTTCAAATAAAACTGCTTCCCATGTAACTTTCCAACACTGTGTTTATAATCTCTTTATTTTCGTTTTAATACAGTGTAACATCCCAAATTTGCATAGCACTGTGAAGTAAGAAACAATTGGCATTTTGATTTATTATTTACTTTCTGATATACATAGTATATATAACCAAATATTATGTTGTAAGATTTGAGATTTTCACGGCGGTGACTATGAAGAAAACAGTCTTCTGGGATGTGGCGCTGTGTAGATATTGTGTTGACCGACGTTTCGGAGGAACGTATCGCCTCCATCTTCAGGGTAAACGTCGGTCAACACGGTATCTACACGGCGCCACATCCCAGAAGACTGCTTTTTTCAAATATTATGTTGGTGGGAAAAAATCAGTCTCGAAATTCTGACAGATTCACACTTTGAGCCTTTCTGAATATGAAAAAGTTGTTTTTGGTATACCTCCTGTCTTTGTATATTGCAACATTATGCGAATTTGGAGCAGTTACTGTCCCTGAATAATTGGACGGAATTTATTTGTACCCGGTGTTCAAGAGTATATCTGTCATAGGTTAGTCCCTGGTGAATGTGAATAAGCAGTCGCCTCTCTTGTTTATTTCTACAACGGACTTCATGACGTTCGTTAAAACGGACGCATTTTGTGCGCTCATGTAGACGCTGCCTTAAACCACGGAATTTAGTTTAGTTTAAGAATTGTTATTAAAATGTGAGACAATCATAGGTACTAGGAAGATGAGAAATGTATAAACAATATCAGTTGGAAAACTCAGATGGAAGATACCACTTAGAGGATTAGGCGTAGGTGGGAGGATAATGTTGAAGTGGATCTTAAAGAAGTGGGGTGCGAGGAAGTGGATTGGATTTATCTGGCTCAGGCTGTTATGAACACGACGGTGAACCATCTGATTCTATAAAAGGCGAAGGATTTCTTGATTAGCTGAGTACTCCATTATAGAGTTAATTAGTTATGTTGTCCGATATTAGGGATATTCATGGTATTTTGCCTTTTGTGGAGACGCCTCTTTAAATACATTTTTCAGCGCGATGGCTGTTGTGCGGTGAAAATAAAATACGACTGATAAAAAGATAAAATTGCCCGTTGGAGCCAGTACTATGCCATGAAAGCGTACACGGGCCATGAAATAAAGTTCTAGCCTTTCGGGCGTGGCACCAGGTTTAGCTGTGTTCAGATTCACACTTCGGTCACTGTCACCTCTGGAGAAGAGGCTCCGAACTGTAATTTGGGGATAAAATATCGATCCTCCGCCCAATGGATCTTGCCAAATGTCCCAGACATTCAGAATTACTGTTTTTTTTTTTTTACTTTTTCCATCGTCCGGAATTCTAGGTAATAGAAGACATGACGTTTCGGAAACTGGATCTGTTTCTATCTTCAGGTGAGGAAGGAAGACACCTACTCAGTTGGGCCCTTAGAAAGAGCTAATCTCAATCACTGGAAAAATATAAATAGTCCAAAAACCCAGGAAGTCTGTGTGTCATCCACCATCGTCAGAACCCTTTAGAATCTACTTATATCAGACATTCCTGGTTTCAGAATGAATTCTGAATCGAAGGAGACCATAGAGCCGAACAGGAAAGCAATGATAGCTTTCTTGGGGGGAGGGGGGGAAGAAAGATTAGGATACAAAACCGTAATTGGGATTGAACCCAGGCCTACAAGAGTTGGCGTACATTAAAAATAGGGATTGCATTTCGTGTGTCTTTAAGCTTTACGCCTACCTTCAAACACAAGAACGTTGTGAATTGTATCAGACTATATTTGTTAATCCTTTCCCAGTACTGTGTAAGCAGTATTACGTAGGCAGAAGACGTGTAGGTTGTATGCACCGTTCGATTGACCTACGGTTCGGCCGAAACCCTAGTAAATATGTATGTACCGTATGCAAGCCGAAGGTCGTGAGCGTCGTGAGATGCGTGGAGCAAGGTGAAGGGGCTCCCATTCTTCTGCAGTTGCAGTTGAGTTGTGAATTCTTCATGGTGACAGCCGTGTGCAAGTTGCCGTAGTAAAATCCTGCAGCTGTCCATTGTTTCATCCCCAGCAGAGAAGAATGGTAGCTCACAAAGCCACAAGAATTACAATAAATGCTGCTAACATTTTGTATGCATTTCTCATCTCCCACGCGTGCTACATTCCACGCCAACCTCGTCTTCCTTTTTTGGATCACTCTAACAATATTTGATGGTGATAATAATTATGAAGGTCTTCATTATGCAACTTTGTCCAGTTTTCTCTTACTTTCCCTCTGTTAGGCCCAAATATTCTCCTTAGCTCTTCGTTTTGAAATACTCTGATATCTATATACTACCCTTAATGTAAGAGACAAAGTTTCATACAAACATGTGTGGTTTATGATTCGGGATACTGCGGAAAATGTACTTTGCAGTTTAGCTTCTTTGCTTTTGCCAAGAAGTTTACGGCTGTTTTGTCATGTTTATGAATTGGTCAAGAATGGGGGGAAACGACGATTTTGAAAATACGCGAATTGCAAATTAGGATACACATTTACAGTTTTGTTTTCCTCATCCTGTGTGTATTTTTTTCATAAATAACAAAATTATAATATAGTAAGAGGACAGTCTATTGG